AACAGTGTATTGTATACAAAACAAATTTGTTATTCGGCCCGCGCCTTCCATTCTCTCAGTTATCCGGCCCACTTTTTAAAAAATTTGGTGACCCTCTGTTCACGTGACAATGTCTTGGACAGGTGGTCGTTAAAGCAGTTCAGACTGTACATACAAAAAGTTCAGTAATGGGGGCCCATAATTATAATATCGCTCGGACAGGCCCCAACTATTATTATTTATCAGTGCTGTCTTTCGCAGGCTTAGGGTAGAAGAAAGGTTACCAAACAGTTTGCCTTCTATTCAATAAGTTCCACTGTTAACTTTGCAGATAGACAGTAGAGACAACTTAATTTATTTACCCTTAATAATTCAAGTATAGAAATTGTGAATTCATGTATGGGGAGGAAATTCAATACATGATATATCACGAGAACAAACAAATGAAAAGGACTGACAAGGGCACGTATTTCTTTAGCTACTATTGAAGTAAGTCAAGAGCATACTAATACTAGCTATGCACAATGAATGAATGATGGCAGCCCAATATCAGTCTTACAACCAAAACTTTTTAGTCTTTTCCAGGTCAGAGTCAATCAGCCAAAAGAAAGAATTTCACATAAAAACGAAATATATATATATATATATATATATAAGTTCTCTATTGTTGCTCCCTTAGCCACTGATTCATGGTCATGTTATGGAGGCTTATAAAATTAGAAACAACGCACAAAAATAAAAGTCGTGAAAGTAAATATGCTGGCGGGTAGGATCCACATCATGTGATGCCTGGCAACACAGAGGTTTAAGTGAAAGAATCACTTTCCTACACATATCGTAAAATGGTAACAGATGGAATAAATCTGCCTACACAGCTGTATCCATGAACACCTAGAGGCTTTAATCTCATTATCATCTGCACCTGACTAGGTAAAAATCAATTTTTTGCTATTAATATAAGCTGCGTAGAACCTAATCCTTGAATAATGCATGCATACAAAGAGAAAATAAAACAGACTGACAGGAAGAGATGCAAACGAAAAAGAAAGTGTAAAAGAAAATAATTTCGATTTTTTTTTTTACAGTACAAGATAAGACAACATGAAATCTATTCTTGTTTCGCAAGTGCCATATATAACTCTTATTAAAAACCAAATTTAAGAACAGATTAAACTACAATCAAAAGTAGCAACAATAATCAAAGCTCTTTTTTCAAAGTTTGGGGACCAGACCACACAACACAAGACAAAGGCTGTCTACCGACAACAGAATTGGGTCTAGGAATCAAAACATTTATCTCAACACCAGATTTTATAAAGTGTTGATATTTAACATAATTAGTTTTATGAAGTATTAAAATTTTTTTATAAAAGGTAAACAAAAAAAAGGGTAGTAAGGACTTACAAAAACACCCAAACAGTACAAAAACACCCATCAGCCTGGTAAACATTATAATTATAATGTCAGCAGTGAGTGAGAAAAAACACAGGACAGGACACATATTTGTTGATTGTTAGTACACAGTGCCAATTGGGAGATCGGCAAACCAATCGCCTGATTCGCGGCCTAAAAACAAACGGCTGCGAGTTGGACAATTGGTTTGTGCCACGATGGTCGCATTGCACCCTCAATCTGGCTAGCCCTGCCTACTAAACCAAACCGAATGTGCCAACGGGCACTCAGTATAACTCTTTCCATGCTACTCCTCACACTGCATCACTAGTTTAAATATTGCAAAAGTCACAATAAGTGAAATAATTGCAAAAGAAAAGAGTTTTAAAAATTTTCATTCCGAACAAAACATGCAAGAAAAAGTCATGCAATGTGTGCATTCCCACTTGTCTTGATCCCTGCCAGGATACCCAGCTGGAAACTTCATGGAAATGAAAGACAACGAAAACTCTGATCCCTTATTGATGAAACTGACATTGAATTTCAAGCATCAGGTTAGCCTAAACTGTGCAATGGTCACAGTAGAAAATTGTTACAGTTTTAGTGCTCTTACTATCATCATCATTGATATAACTTCATTCTAGCAGAGACTGAACATGGCCCCTAAAACATTTCCGTCATTCCAGTTAACAGTTTTCTAGATCTAGATCTAGAGTAGATCTATATCTTGATTTAGATCTATTCTAGATCTAGATTAGATCTAGATCTATTCTAGATTTAGTAAGAACTTTATTCAATATTTTATAAATTACGCATAGAGGCCTAGACTGTCTTTCGTTCGCCCTTTCGCCGAGGTTTGAGAGAACCAGACTTTCTATTAGTGGTAGAATACGGGGATTCCGAATACGGGTAGATCTAGGCTGGATAATCCCTACACTCAGCAAGAAGAGTAAAAGTTTAAGAAATCAACGCCTAGCCTAAATAAAATTATTATTAGCCTTAATCAAACCCGACTCTCAGCCTGGAGACGAACAGAACAGAGAACAGAGAACTGAGGATTTAAAAACAAATCCAATAGGCAGGCCCCTAGGCCAACGCTCTTATATATCATCATACTCACAAGTCTTCTAGTCACGATGAACTCGTCCTGCAAACCAGAAAGTCACAGCCGACTATCCCAGCCAAGTCAACAGGTTCAAGAGTCAAAAGACGAGAAATTTCACGCAACAGTTTTGAAACCGAATAGCGGGTCCAGAGAAAGCGTAGCCTGGCTTTCAGCTCTTCCACTGCAAATCTCTGCGGCGGCCTGGTGCCTGGTGTTGGTGTTATGTTTCAGAGCGCCCCCGTGTGTTGAATTTCTTGGAGCAGTCAAGAGCAGTTCACGTCTCATTGGTCAATAAAATCGTGACTCATACGAAGATATTTTTAGACGTGGGAAGTCGAGGTTTCCCAATTCTCACCGACGCAATTGCCAACAGGTTTTGGATTTTGACACTTGGGCGAGGTTGAATTCAACCGTGAAAGAGAAAGAGAACAGGACATAGATCTATCTATAAATATACATTATACATGTACTTGGCTTAGAGCTCCTTGCTCGGAACCGAAACAACTAACGCATCTGAAATAGAAAGGCAAGAAGCAGGAGTGTTCTGTTGCAGATGGGTCCGAGAAGCAATTTAACGTCCAACTAGTGTGAAAACTTAAAAGAATAAGCATGAACTTCGTCGCGTATTACAATATAAGAAGCATTAATTGAGTGTTTTAGAAAATTAGCAAAGTGTCGTTTGAGGACTAGAATCTAGATCTATAACCAGCAACATCATAAAAAATAAATCATAAAAATGACACCAACTTAATTAATAAAGTTAATAACAGTAGCAACTGAAACAATTATATACCGCACCATAATTAGGCTAATGAAAAACATCGATAGCAATTACAACTTCACAGCTAAATACATGCTTTGGGTTCTACGGAAGTAAACCAACGTTCAAATGTACACTTTTGCAAGAATCTTAAAGCTCATAATATGCACTTAATTTTTGACTTAATATAGATGCTACTCTTTTTTTTCTAGGAGATGAGTTTTTCCTATGTACCGTGCAGCGGGAAAGGGGGGGGGATGCTGGTTCTTTTTATAAAGGCTTGGTGATTAGAATTTTAACACAGTAGGCCTACGTCTTCTACAGAGATTGTTTGCTTCACTCTTGCTTACTTTTTTAAAATGTGAAGCTATGGAAATTTGAACAATAACGATTATAATGTGCTGTGAAAACAAATGAGGATGGGGAAGAACTAAATAAAATATAATTCGGATTATTCCCTTGTCCCGCCCACTAATAACAATAATAATCTTATAGATTTAATTTGTTTATTAAATAAGCTCAAATTTATTATTTTTTTAAAGAAAA